AGTAGAGCTTTACTACATTAACAATGAGACAGTTACCTACCAATAGAGTTGGAGAATGGATGTGCAATATCGCAAATTGACTGAAGTTTGAAATGTACACCAATGTATGATCTAAAAGCTATATTAGAACGAAAAAGCTATCCTGCGCCTTCTGAATTTTATTGGTTGTTTTAGAGAAAGTCAGTTTGTGGTATAAGCTATGAAATTTAAAAGTCTACACAGACTCTCTACACAAATAAAAGTACAAATCGCTATTTAGACCGTACTAGGTTATGGACTGAAGAAGAGATTTTCGAATCAATTCTCAGTTGACTAGTAACTTGGCTTTATAAAAAAATTCTTTGGATACAAAATTTTAACTTATGAATGAAACATTAAACCACTGAATAAGAAGCACATTACCTCAATATTTTCTGACAAAAGTGAGTACTACAAGAAAGTCTCTGACGTTCCGATGTAACAAATCACCAGTGATCGCTATCCCGTTACTTTGTACATCTCCAAAGATTAAATCGATAATTTGCAATACACTTAAAGCCAATTCATTTATATCTCGAGTTAACGTTGACTGATTTTTCGTTGAAAATCCAATTTTTTTATTAATTAATTAATTGGATCACATTTCATAGAGAGCTTTAAAGCACGTGAGATTTTTTTACATATCTGGGTAGCATCACTGATGAACCAGAAGGGTCTGAGGCAGATGTGAAGGTATCGATTAGAAAAACAAGGATAACATTCACACAATCTAAGGACATCTGGAAATAAAAATAACTGTCAAACATCGAAGTTCAAATCTTTAACACAAAATATCAAGACAGTCTTATTGTACGTAGCTAAAACTTGGAAAACTATAATCATCAAAAATGTACAGGTATTAAAAAACAACTGTCTACGCAAGATACTCCAGACCATCAGCAACAACGTACTGCGGGAGAAACAAACCAAATGACAGTTTAAGAGGAAATCAAGTAAAGACGCTGGAAGTGCATAGTGTACGCAATGCGGGAATCAAACTGCATCACAAGGCATGCCCTAAGCTAGAAGCCTGGAGGTGAAAGGAAGATAGGTCAACCAAAAAACTCATTGCGTCCAAAATCGGAGGCAGACATAAAAAAATAGATAGCAGTTGACAACGAATGGAAGAGACAGCTTAGAACGGAGAATCCTGGTCTTTAGTCTATGCTTTCACGAATGGTAACAGCAGTAAGTAAACTAATATTGATCAACTAGAATCTGAAGAATGTACTTTGTTCAAATTACATTACATTTGAATATAAAATGCCGACGAGCCAATCACGTATAACATAACAGGTCTCAGATTTTGGCGCAAAATTCACTCATTCATTCGCATAAATAGAGTCTTGGCATTATGGCTGATGTCAGTTCGTGATGATAACCCTAAATCTAATTTCCAACCTTAATCATCAATTGCAAATCATAATTATAGTTTTTCACACAGGTTTATAACCTTCATTTGGTTCTGTTTATTAGGTGGACAATCTCAAGTCAATCTAGCGTCGCTCAAAGGTCGTCCATAAATTATTATCGTATATCGACGTACGCTTATATAAACGTTCAGAAATGTTCGGAATTAAAAGATGGTTAAATTCCTCAAAAGAAAATTGTACTTACATGAATTTCGAGGTTCAACTCATTTTAATACATTACAAACTCTGAGTACACTGATGTGCATAACATTACAAGAGGATTTTTTTTGTGAACACAGGTCACTCAATCAAGACTGACTCTGCGTTCAAAGTCATCTACAAGGTAAGTAGAAGTCTTCCAAAGACAATTAGATTGCATCTTCTTCGCATTGCCGAAGCAATAGCTATACATCTGGAAAAACAAGAATTGTGTGTGCAAAAGAGATTATTACAACCTCTTCTACCATGGCCTTGATGTCTTATAACTTTTTTCTTTATACTATTCTTCCTTTATAGTCATTTACTTCCCCTACCATCTTCTCCTTAAACCTTCTACCCCCAACTGATTTATTTCTGTTACCACGATTATCCTGATGACATTTAATCTCAATTTCAACATTTTATCTTATCATGCTGAGCCATCCTGCCCTAATGATAATTTCCCTATCTATCTTTTGACGAATATTTAAGCCATTAACAATCAAACGATTATTAAGATTTCCTTGTTTTCTAAAAACAATTTTTAATACCCCTGTTTATTTAACCTCACTGTCACTATATCTAACAGAAATTTATTATCAGTATTACTACCATTCTGAAAACATAAGTATCTGTATCTGTGATTGTACAGCTTTGAAAATGAATTCACCGAAAAGGGGAGAACTCTTCACTGAACTAATCTTTTTTTATTTAAAAAAGAGAAGTCTTTCAACTAATTGTGTCGAAGTGATGATTGTCAACACAGACAAACTGAAAATTAACATAATAATATGGAACTCCGTTAGTGATTTAACAAGATTTTACACATATTTCTTTCTTTTTTGTAATCTATATAACCGTTCTGTTTTACTTTATGGCAGTGAAACATGGCCATTAAGAGTAGAAGACACTCGTAAGCTACTAGTATTTGAACACAGATGCCTTAGAAATATTGCTGGCGTCTGCTGGGATCACCGGGTAAGTAATAGTGAGGTTCGACGCAGGGTATTAGGGAATGATGGTAAGTCAGTTGATGAGGTTGTGAATCTTCATCGACTGAGATAGTTGGGCCACGTGTTACGTATGTCCGAACACCGATTACCACGACGTGCAATGCTAACCGGTGTGTCGGGATGGTTGGAAGAAAGTTAGGGGCGACCAAACTAATAGACTTGAGCTTTAATGTTTGTTAATATATCATTCTTCTATACGAAAATGGAGTTATTAGCTTAAAGCATTCAACTCTTGCCTTCTAGATTACAAATTCGAATTATGCTCAATCTAGTTTAAATTAAGCAACCTTAAACACTTGAAATATGATACACAAGATGAGTATATAAAGCCCTCGATTCAGTAAATGAATTATACATTGAAATTATAACATAATTAATACTTAAATATAAAATGAATGTTTATTGCATCCCGCAAGGCAAGATCGTGGATACACACACGCTACTGACGAGTCAGACAAATAGGACGAAACGGTCGTCTAGTGCTTCAAGATTTCCCATGATGATCTAGCTTTAATCGACTTAGGATCTCAATCATTAAAAGTTAAATGATCAAGTTGTTATTGATCGTTGAACAGAAAAAAAAACTAAACAACTAATAATTGTTCACTTATTAATTTTTTCTGCATGTATATTTTGTGAAAACATATGAACATTTTACATTGAAATTACTAGAAAAAAGAGAAAAGACAGAAAGAGAACAAAAGACAAGATATAGGATTGCATTGTTTTAAAAAAAACAAAACAGAAGAACAGAAACATTAGAGAAAATATAGCATACAATTGTTTGTTCCAATCAATATATGTAACGATATTAGTAGTTAACTGGATGGATTGTTCATTACATTCTTTGTCACATTATTCTTCTTTATATCATCAAAAAAAAAGATAAAACACAATCTCCAAGAGAATAGGGATTAAAGATTGACAAGGCAAAACCTACTAACATTAATGTATACACATAGTCTCAATTGACACATGTAATGTAACTCTCTGTTACTACTTATTATTATTCAATAATAATGGTTCATTAATTCATCATTCATTTGTAAAATAAAATGAATACTATCAAGCACAACAAATCAACCGATCATTCATTAAAACACATTGCTATATTGAATAACAACAGATTCATACAAATTAATTATGATAATGATCATTAAATGAAGAAAACATGGTGTACAATATATGTACGAGAGAAAGTGAAGGAGAGAAAAAAGGTACAAAAGAAGAAGAGGAAGAATGAAATAGAATAAGGTTGAGAAGAGCTTCTATTAATCAAACTCATTAGACTATTCATTAGACAAACAATCACTGACCTGTTGTTTTCACTGATATTTATGATAGAATGCTTGACAGGGGAACGAAAAGAATTGAGATACACTGTTTAGCATGCATTCTTATTTCATTTGACCACATGAAGAAATTCAAACAAAAACTTAGCACCTATAAGTACTCAAAAAAAAATTCAAAGTGTACATTATCATCATCATCACACACACATACATGACATAGATGAGCTGTATCACGTCAATAATTCAAACGGAACATCGAGTCATATGCAAATACGTCCCTTTTATTATCGATCCAAGTTTATGAATCTCAATAATGTATAAATAAATAAACGTTGAAACAAGCAAACCTTTCTCTTTTTCTCTCTGCACGATAGCAATCAAAAACAGAACCGAATAAGAAAATAGTAACTGATGAACTATTCATCATTTACCAGGAAGAAATTTATCAAATGTAAACAAAAACACATACAAGTACATATGAATAGATGACCCATAGTCTCAAGCAATAATAAGATAGTTAAAGGATAATAACTGAAATACCAACGAAAGACAATAAGCATACAGAGATGGGAAAAGAGAACAAACAATATGTATATGTGTATCTGACAGCATGATAATAGTAGGTAAGAATGAAAGTAATGTTTGTAATGCTCAAACCTCAAAATATCTTTTTCATACCAACCTTTTTTTCATTAGGTAAAAAGAATATCAAGAATTCGAAGAGGAAGGAGACAATGATAGCGACGGCAACGACAACAATAACGATAATTGAAAGATAGAGACTTTAGCATTCTTCACACACTAAACATATTACAAAGCTCTATATACATGAACAACAAAATATATGTGTTTATTGTAACATATTAGTGTGCTGAACACCATAAAACAAATTGAGTTGGAGTTTAATTATTATTATTATTTCGAAAGAAAAATGGTATGATTTTCTTCTTCTTCTCAATTTGAGGAGATAAAATAAGTGAAAAGCAAAAACAAAAACATTACAATTTTAACTGATAACTACCAATGTTGATAGAATAAAAATACTAATTATTATCCAGTGACGATCTTTACCTATTACGCTTAACATCTGATGATACTGATGATGAAGATGACGAGCCATTATTCGCTGTTGTTGATGGTTGTTGATTATTTGTTCCACTACGTGAACCGGATGTACGACGTTCATTAGGTGGAATTGTATCTGATGGATGAAGAGTATATGTTAAACGTTGATGTGATGGTAAATGTAAAAAGAATGGATGTGTAAGTGCTGCAGATAAAGGAATACGGTCTGCTGGATCATATTCTAACATTTTAGACATTAAATCAAATAGATCAAGTGTATCTTGACTTTCATCTTTGCAATAACGCTGAAAATTAATGAAATAACAGATAGAAGTAAGACAAGAAAAAGAAATATGATTAGCGTAATTTATTTGTTAAACAATGCAATATAATTAGTATGACAAATGTTAACAAAACTATCAGCTTTGACCCTACAACATGTTAAATAACCTAGTACGGTCGAGGGTGGAGAGTCAGCTCTCCCTCTCCAAATGCCCTCACACATGGCCACGCGTACAGAGCTACTACCAGGGAAAGTCCTACTCACTGCCTTCTAGAGACAAGGTGTTATTTATGAAAATGAGAAGACGAAAAACTCCCTTATACCAATGTATGTACGTTTAAATTTACATATTGAAGTAATGAGTTTACAATAATATGGTTTCGAAACGTTACATCTATATAACATGTAGAACTAAAGATGATAGATCGGACAAGAAAAAAGGTCACCAAGTCTACAAATAAGTGACAGTTAATCACAGGATTGCAGAGCTCAATTAGTCATATTCATTATAAAACCTGATATAATATAGGCGTTCGTCCAAATTGTCACACTATAAAGGTACAGTATGATGAAATAATCAAGATACATAGCAAAGAATCAATGATAATAGCAGTCGTAGAAGAAAAGAATACGGATATATCATACGAATTGGCGGATTACGAGTGATTCTTAGTCATATTACCCAACATTTCCAGTTATTGGTTATGATAATTAAGCCGCAGCCAATAAAATATTCTCGATCCATCTACACACCTTGATCTAACAGCCCATAACTATTACGTATTAATTTAGGGGAACTTAGCTATATTCGAACATATTTCCGCACACCAGCTAACATAAGTGAATATATTGATTAAATAAATCCAATAGGAAAGCGCTAGTGACAACTTTAACTATTGATCCTTTACAATAAATATGGTGAACAAAAGTGTCGAGATTAATTTGATAAAAACAAAAATATGCACATGTGTAGCTCAATTCAAAATATACAGGAAAAAAATCTAATAAACCTCCCCCACACAAAAAAGCCCAGAAACAAACCAAATAAATATTTAGTAAAGCGTTTTACATGAGCAAATAAGGCAAAGACTCATTATGCAATATTTACGCATACTCATACATACATAAACGAACAAACGAAGGTAATGTTAGTATTAAATAAAATAAACACTCATGATTATGCAACAGATGATAAGGAGAGAAAATAATTAAAGTTACCCGGAATGGACGACAATGTGTCAGAACATATTTGGCTTCACGTGATTGTGCATCCCATAAAAGATTGCCAGATGTATCAAAGTATTTGGTTCGACTAGAAACACAGATAGATATGTGTGCGTATGTGCGCATGCATTATGATCATTACAATAAGATTAACAATAATATTAATAATAGTTATTATTCGATGAAAATCTCGAATTAACGGCAGAGTATCATAGATCCATCCATAATATGAAGGCAATTAAAAGTGATTTAGCAAACAAGTAATTAATTAAAAAGAGATTGGATGCAAATAAACACATGCAAAAGAAATCCTTTAGAGAGAAAAAAATAAGTAAACCCAGTCTGGAGAGTGGAAAAGAAAAGATATTTGATGTGAGCATTCTTTTCATTTGATGATAATTATAATGGTATAATGTTGACACGATGCAGTAGAATACATATATCTTCTTTCAAAATATATTTATTGTGTGCCATGAAACAAGCTTGAATAGTTTTTTTTTATAATCACTTATCAACAACTTACAAGTAAAGGACGACAATTCTCACGAACATAACGACCTTCTTGATTATAAAAATCCCAGTCCAAACGTCCATGATAGAAAAACCCAGTTCTAAACACACAAAATGAGTATTGATGTAAACATATTTTATGTAGTGATGATGGTGACTGGGTCCGAATGAATAACCTCCACCCGCATATCGTATCAATGTACATTTTGCAAGGTGATTTTTCAACAATAATAACAAATTATAAATTTTTGAGAAATTATGTAGTTAGTTTAGTTGTAAACTAATTGATAACTGACATAAATATCAGTTTGAGAGCTGTATTGTATTACTCAATAGCAGCATGTTATGGAAATCGAGATAAATAAAATGAAAAAAGATAGATTGGAAATAACAATAACCGAGACAGTGGTAATCTGAGGTATGAGTAGAACGAATGAAATGTAGTGACACAGAATTGGATCATATAGACATCAAGCTTAACATTGTTTAATGATGGAGAGAAAGTTTATACGGTGGAAATGGAGATTCGTAGCTCAGATGGATGATGATCTTGGTAGTATTGTATCCCTCAAGATAGGTAGCTTAATTGATTAGAGCTTCCATTATCATTCGGGATAATGATATTTTTAGCATCTATTACAACAAGTTTTAAGTCAGTTTGTTTTGCTGACCTTCTTTGCGTATAACTAATTGTACTCATAGACTTCGTTGTCTTCATCTATCTTTTCATATACTCGCTTGTTCCATAGATCTATGACTACACAGACCAATATGTGCATCGAATTACATACGATCTATCAAACTCCTTATCGGAAAAGATCAATTAATCACATGGCTAGAAGTTAGCTGAACAAAAAAACCATCAACTTCTACATGAAGTAAAGTGTTGAAGATGTTTTCAAGCACGACAATGAAAGCTCTGCAATTATTTCACAGAAATGAACAACACCAATATATTTTAAAGATAAAAATCCCATATAGACACTAATATTATAGTGATGGGGAATAATAATAATAATAATAATAATAATAATAATAATAAATAATAATAACATACCGTGACTTTCTAGTCATTCGATAAGGAATATGACCTAAAGTACGTTCCATCATAGCTAAATGTTCACGATTATCATGAGTCTAAAATGAAAATAGTAATACAGATTTTTGTATATTTATGTGTTGTCATTAATTTTTAATAAAACAAAATAAAACATAACAATTGTTGACTATGAACATTAAAGATATATGGACTGTAAAAATAACATATACACACGACAGAAGTAGAGATTTGTCTGATTCTCCAAAACTTAAAGGAAGAAAACTCTAAATCTACATATATCTAAGGAGACATTTAACTAAGTAAGTAAGTATTGAATACAGTTCTACGAATATAAACTTATCCATGAAAGGAGATTGTTGAATAATATAGTTAAAGATACGAAATGAACACCATTTGATCTAGATTACGTGCTAACAAGGTCAAACATTCCACGCGATAGTTAAATGTCTTGAGTTCAATCTAAGAAATGAGATTTTGAACATGCACTAGTGAGGAATATAATAGTAGGACGAAAAAGATATTCAATCTTTTCCAGTTTTTAATGCTTGATCAACTAAGGTGAGTTCGGGATGTGATTTATAAAATAAACTTATCCAATGATAATTTATTATTGTAAAATACATTAATAGAATGCTGATCACTAGATGCAGTGATAATTTTTTACGAGACTGGAAGTGTTACACTTAATTCTTGTTTATTATATCAAAATCGTTTTAAGGAGTGACTAAAACGTAGTTGGTCGCTGATAATGCGCTTACTAGTAGCTTTAAGAGTGGTCGAACTCAAAAAGAACGTTTCTGGGTTCAATATGTATGTGTAATATATCATTTTTCACCTAAACACCGTATTTTCTACTTGTCGGGACCTTAAATGTCTTTGGTTCGTTGTCTCCTTTAATATGCTATTTGGAAACGCTTCCCAAGGACAATTTTATGCCACATATATACACTTGAGTTGTGCTTGTTGGTGATCGTGCTTCTGGCTGCCTGTGGAATACATTTCCCTTCTGTGAACCAGGACCACTCTCTAGTTAGTGAGTCTGGGACGCAGCAGAATAGCTGGCTTATTTGTTCATTGTGTCACTGAGTCTTTTTTCTGTTCGTAGATTAGGTGGATTCGCAATCTTTTCAAACATATCACATACACACACTAAAATTAATCAAATTTTGCTGATTTCACGCTGGATTTTTCACAACTACGATAAACTGAATAAGTGTATTTTAATACAAGTTATTTCAGTCAATGACAACGTTGATTATGCCACTTATTATTCAAAAATTTCCACAATCACTGGCTAATATTGTTTGTTGACTTGGGGGACAGTTAGGCATATGTAACACACATCAGAATTACTTCAGTCGATGACATTTCATAGATTCATCAATCGGTTGTCGTTCTAGTTTATTACACTGTACTAAAGTTTTTCTTTAAAAAAGCGATATTTTACATTTTTGCCAAAAAAGAAGTAGATAAACACACATATCGATACTAAAGAATAACTTACTTGGAATAGTGTATAACCTGTATACAATTCAAACATGATGCATCCAATTGACCAAACATCACATGGTTGAGACCAACCTAATTCTGTTAAGACAGACAGAAATATATGAAAATCAATAAAAAAATACTCAGTTTTAATCTAAAAACAAGATAAATTTTACTAATACTTAGTAAACGCTTGGATTATCTCGATTCAGGATTGAGTTTTGACCAGATAGCCTGGATACAGAAATTTCGTTGCTAGGTTCCTTTAAAAGAGATAGATTATGGCCAACAGTGGGAATAAAGGATGAGCAAGTATATCCAGCTGAACAAAACGGTAGGTTCGCTGTGGGATACATTGCTTGCCATAAACCACTCATTATTAAAAAAAAGTTAACGACAATGTACCGCGGGTTTTTTTTTTGCATTGACCAGTGATTTTCAAATGAAAACCAAATTTTATAAGAAACTTCTGTGAGTCTCAGTCAATCATAAGGAATTTAGAATCTAGGTAGTAGTATCACTAGCCTCGGCACAGAAATAGTGTGAGTTGAAACTAAGTAAATAAATGTATACTTGACAAATAAAGTATTTTGCCAATGAAAATTGATTAATTTGAAATTCATTCTCTTATTCAACAGTTTTTAGAGACCATATGTTATTTGTTGACGTCGATCATGTGTTTTAAAGACTTCTTTCAGTGGTGTTGTGTTTTGTTAGCTAGATGGTTGCAGAGCTTTTATCATTATCTTGGACAATATACGGGAAACGCTAAGGATGCCAGAGAATTTTTAGGAGCATAGTATTCACACCAGTTGGCATTTAATACGCACTACAACGTAGATATATTCCATCAATCCAAGTAGAAAAGGTCACTCAATCATACAAACAAAGGTCTATAAATTAAGACACTCAATTTGAATACAAGAAAATCTACAAAGGCAACTAATGATAAACGAACTGACATGACACTTGTGAAATGATTGAGAAGTTCACTTCTAAATGAAGTAGATACCGATTATATTGACTAGAATGACAATAAAACTTTCGCCAATTCGACAATCTATCTCGCAGAAAACAACACTACCAAAAGCTATTATTTAAAATTATAAAATCCCCAGTGTCCTGATTTCCTTCTTGATCGATTGTACATTATGATTACTATTGAAAACTTTCAAATGTTATGAATATCTTTGACAAGATATGACATTTAATGAAAAATTGAATTGAACACTGTTAACAGTTAACTAGTAGGTAGTTAAATAATTATTTCATAATAAATTACACAGTATAACGCATTACTGATAGTTATGATATCGTCGTCAACCATCAAGTTCCACACAAGTAAGAATCATGGAAAAGATCTGATTTTCATTGATTTCTCACTTTTATTTTATTCATGATAATTATAATATATTCATAATATTAACTAATTAATTAACTAACCAAGTATTACTTCAGGTGCACGATAATGTCTTGTTGATACAATTGTAGAATGATGATCATAATCAAATGTTGCTGAACCAAAATCAATTAAACGTATATCGGAACATTTAACCATACGTTCATGTCGACGTTTTTTACGATTATGTACTGATATATAATCTGAATCAACAAATAATATATTTTCTGGTTTTAAATCTGTATGAGTTAATTGATTATCATGTAAAAATCGAACAGCATAACATAATTGATAAGATATATGACGAACATGTTCCATTGGATAACCGACATAATTATTTTCTTTCTATAAATTTGAAAGAAAAACAAATAGAAGAACAAAAAAGTGTAAAGAAAAAACAACATTTATGTCTCAAATGAAAATTACATAACTTATCCAACTTGAGAAGATTAACTCCATATTAAAAAAAATGCATGATACAAATACAGTAAATGAATTATGTCTATTATTAACTGATGAGATGAGATATACAAGCAGATCTTATATGTATTTGTCTGTAACTAACCTATTAAGAATGATGTCACTTCAAATATAAATTAGTTAATATACTACAAATTTGAATCATAATCCAAGTTTAAGGGCAGATTAGATCTAAGATACAATAAATAACGTCAGGAGATGCAAAACGTACGCTAAACACATGAATAAGCCTTTGTATTGAGTCTAATATTTACTGTAAACTAGGCTTATATTGCTCATTCTATAATTGAGTAATATTGAATCGTTTAGAAAATAAATGAAAGTTTAGTCAATACAACAACGTGTTTCCGATATTTGCTGGGTTTTTTTTAAAGAAAATATTGTTAAAACTTTTAATTATATAGTCAGTAATTATGAAGTACAGCATTAAGATTAGATGGTGGTTGGAGGTAGTCGACAGGAAACCCTGGACCCGGGTTTCATGCTACTTGGCACTCGTCAGCAAGGTGTACCTGTAATCTCGGGGGAACTGGTGCTCCCTGGCGGATTCGATCTCGTGTCATCCAACTTCACAGTCAGAGACGTTACCACTGAGCTATTCGAGCCGTGAACGACCTCCTGTAGACTGGTAGCCACATTGCAACATGATCGATAGCATTCGATCTGCACTAATAAGGACTAGACACGCATGACACTGATCACCACCCAGTGATCAATCAATTGTGATTACATCTCAGTCCTACAGGAGGTCGGTCGCGGCTCGGATAGCTGAGTACAGCAGTTTAGTGTCCATGATAACTAAACATTTTGTTGTTATTATTATTATCACTTCAAAAAATAACTTTTCGTATGAACTGGAATAATCAAAGGTAGAGATTAATATCTAAGAGACTATTACAGTTAGTGTAACAAATAACCAGTAATTAAGACCTTTAAAGAAATTTGTGATAACACAGTTAGGGACCATATAGCTTACTAATCTTGTTTTAAGCTTGCCAGTAAATTAGGCAGTATACTGAGCAAATGTAAAGCAGTCACAAACTTATTATATTGATTGTTATGGTATTCTGTTGAACTTTACAATCCTCTACGAATAAAAATGACTATCAACACGTTTGACAACTAGATACAAACTAGTACTCCTATATATAGTGTAAACGAATTGATGATAAATACTATAGCACTAAATGTATTACCGTAGTTTGATCAAGAACATAGAGAAAGTTGATAAATTGATGATAATATTAATCAACATCCTAATGAGGAAAACATAGCCAGTTTTTAAAAAAACACTTATGAATTGCACCAACGGTTGGGTACAAGAATGAATGTTTCAACGACAGAAATAAAGGGTTAATTATTATGATTCTCATTTTTCAAAAGTTAACCACGTCATTACTACTTTGAGCAATTTAAGAGCTACTCAACTGAAAAATTAAATCAAATCTAACTAGACAAAATTAATTACGTACATAGTAATAAATGAAATAAGATGAATACTAGTAATACTACTTGGTTGTCCAAACGGAAGTAGATAGAGTGGAGATCGAACCTAAGAGTCACACACTTAAGAGAAAATGAACGCTTTAACCAATGAGCCACAGAACCGGCTTAACCACATTATGTATATATATATATATATATATATATATATATATATATATATATATATATTCTTTAGTTTATAGCTAAGACAGGAAACTGTGTTCAATAAGCCTATTTTTCACACATCGATCTAAGTTCTAAGAATATTCACAATAATTTAATATTTTATACAAAAATTTAGTAACTATTTCTTAGGATATAATAATCATATACATACTACCTAGAGTGAAGAAATTGACCGGAAAAAGTGGCTGAAAATAGCATTATCAATCGGCACATATCTATTACTACCTACCTATGTACATAGAAGTAGTGAGAATCACAGTGTGTGTTTAAGAAAACGAACACTAATACAAAATAGATCGATGACACATAGTTTATCAATGATTGGTCGGAAAAACTTTCTATTGACAAAGAAACTAGGCAGTGGAAAATTTATGTATACACGTACTAATAGTGGGATCAATAAAAAAAATTGACGCAAGTTATAAGCAATGACAAGTGGATTTACTTATGAATGGATACCGTTTATGACAATAATCAGAAAACAATATAGATTGTTATATATGTATGTGGTATGCACCGAATTGGACACACACTAATAGTAGAGACAACTATTTATCAACCGATTGAAAACGAAAGTAAAACCGATACGATTCAATAAATGTATTTATGGACTACTATTAGTAAACTACTATTACAGAGTACTAAACAGTCAGTAATCTCATATCGTTGCTGTATTTGGTTATCCATTTTCTTAACTAAAATCTAGCGAATGAATACAAGTGTGATTGAAAGTGGCAAACAATAGAAACTATGAAAATACACTAATACTTTGGTCAATTAATTTCCTGTTAGCGGAATTTCAATTATCCATCGTTCTCCTTCATTGATACCGATGGTTCAAACTGCCAGCATTTACCTACTCACCTGCTACCCACTCTATACAAGATATTTAAGATAACTACTAGATGTGTCCAAATGAGAAATCTACTACAGTTCCTTTTTACACCATTGAATTTAATGATGTTATACTTATGGAACATTGACTTGATGTATTACATCGATCAGAAATCGTTACATAATCAGTGTATACGTTTGGTCAAGACATTTTTTTCATTTTAAAAAGACCACATATAAATCACTCATGAGTTTAGTTTCCTAAGTGGCAGGCATTAATACATATATACGGAACGAGTACATATACATGTGATTGGGTATAGCAAAATTAACTTTCGCGATTTCCGCCTTTTCTCTCGAGTAGCTGAACTTATTTATAGAAAGTATGTACCACTATCAACTATTGGACAAAACGCCTTACGACAAAGCCTTTTATAATTGACCAACATTCATTTTCATAAGAAAAAAAGAATTTCCTATTGTTTAAAAAGCGATAAAGACTCGATTAAAATCAACAGAGAGAAGAGGTAGTTAGCTCTAATTAGTTGAATTTAAATCACGAATCAATTGAAACTAGATCACAATTGAAAACCTGGAAGCCCTGGAGGGCCGTTCCGTCCTACTAGAGAACACCTTAGCAGCACCCACCCACGAAGGCAGCTAGCTATCTATCATTAGTTTAAGTCAAACAAGAAAAACTTTTATAAGCAGAGATGAGCGGTGTTCAGCAGTGAGATCCAGGACATGAGTTTTTGTCCTTTTTGTGATTCACCACCCCAGAACTGATATTTACTCCGGGATTCGAACCCAATGCTGTTCGCTTCAAACACCGTTGCATTATTCACTTAGCTACTAAGTCAAGATAGCCACAAGCTTGTGTAATGAATCAAACAAAATCTATCCTTATTTTTCAACTTCTGACGATTAAAAACTTATTTTCAAAATACAGAATATAATATCCCCTTTCTATGTTATAATGTACAAGTAGATAGATAAGTAATTAGGTAAACAATACAACAAGCATTAAAATGTACTAAAAATAGTGAAATTATTTTAAATACAAAAAGAAAAATAGTACCAAGAGAATTTCAATGAAGTGAACAATTAATATAAAGACACACATATGCAACATATACAAACAAACATAAACTAGTTGTTAGTTAAGAATTAATGGAAACTGACATTATCAATAAAAACTACAGTAGTAAATACTAATAATCCTACGATTATTACTATTATACTATTAATAGCAGTAGTATTATTGTTACTGATATCATTGTTTACCAGTAGTAGTAGTAATAATAATAATACTATTTTTCCTTATAATTAATACAAAATGACATCAGAAAATGTACATTTCTTCGAAGGTGCAAATTAACTTAAAAATTTCAAAATACACAACAAAATATGAGATCACATGAACAACAGCAACAACAAGACAATAGATTTTCGAATCAGAAAAACCCTACCTATTCCCAATCCCTTTTTAGTCGAACACCAATATAAAGAAAAAATATTCAAAATACAATTTACTTACCAAGAAATCAAAAACAGATAATCCAAGTATATCAAATGCCAAACAAATATGTCCATGATAATCAAACCAATCCAACAGGGTTACACATAAACTATCAGGAACAAAAAGAAAAGAAAGAAGTAGTGCGGAATAAAGTAGAGAGGAAATTCAAATAAATCACAAATGAAAATATAACATGAATTATTAGTTTATAATAAATGAATGAATAGTTGTAATGGCAACTAGATCAACATCGACAATACATTAATTGTCTTTAATTAGTTTATTTTAAATGAATAACAAATACTGAAAAAACTTCATATACATACACACAAACACTAGGAAATATAATAAACAAAGAAAGAAATGCCACAAATAATGGATATGCATATATCCTTTCTTATACATTCAAAAAATAGAAATATTCATATATATAGATGATGTTTATCGTACAGAACACAAATGTGAATGTGTGGGGGGGAGAGAATGAGAGGCAACAGGGAATAATGATAAATCAACACAAATTTAATTAGCACAAGAATACAAAAACAAGCACTTAATATTTATCCACAAGGTAACATGTTATTAGTACATTACCACATGTTAAATAAATAAAGATTATCTTGATTACCAATGATAATTTGAATGGATTCATTGAACCAGAAAAAGCATACAATCTTATTGTCAATTAATAGTCATCATTACTTAATGTCGGAGATGAAATAAGATTCTCAATTGACTGACTGACTGTGGGCACTATTAAAAGTTATCAACTATTGAGCAAAAATAAAGAGAATTCAGCGAAGAAAATCTTATTTTCGATGAAATGATGTACTCAAGCTGTACATTTGCACTTATAGTTATTTGGCAAATATATAAGTCTATGTAAAGATAGAACAGATCGCAGCTGAAAATTACAAAATAAGACCAAAATATAATACAGAAGGGAATTAGAATCAAGGAAGGAAGAGATTGGATGTATAGTTTTAGCACACAGAGTTCGAGCTTGATTTCATCTAAAATAAAATCTTTGCTGAATTCTCTTTATTTCTATTTAATGTTAAAATGGATTATTTTAATTATTGTCTATTGTTTGTTTTTGAAGTATGAAGAAAATCGGTACAAAAATGGGGGATTCAGAAAAACGTGTTTCGTCCTATCGAGGACTTGTCAATTGGATGTGTATCTGGATTTCAGTGTTGGGTGTTCACATTCGGACTCGAATTCAATAAGGTTATTTTCAAATATGAATGCGTTCTCCACTTGACAAATGATACAAAACATAGAAATAGTTGAAGAAATAAGTGGCTATGTGGACCTAGTATCTCAGTGGATATCTCATTGATGTTTGAAGCAAAAGGTACTGGGTTTAAGTGTTTGTATGAACATGAACACTAGGATACAGGTAAATCTAATTGATAAGTCCGAAAAAGAGAAAAAATACGAATCCTTGATCCAACTGTAAGCCGCAAATAATCTGTTCTAATAACATGATCTTTTGAATGATACAACTGCTTAAATACAACAGTGGAGAGACTTGATAAATTACTAAGTTTTATTTCTGGAGTGTAATGTTGAAGAATTAGTCGGAAAAAACTGATTCAAAACTAAATGGCGCTTTTGTATTTCAATATTATGTAGTGATAATCACTGGCTTCTCAACCCAATTCCAATAAATAGCTGAATATATGGATTGTAAAACATATGATTTTATCTCTCAACTCAATATAATTCTCCACAGTTTGCAGGTTATAGACAAATTTACATACTATTGAAACTAATGTTGAGAACAAAACTGTCTAGAGTACTCTGTCAGAGTATTTGTACCACTATGTCTTTATAAGGCAATCACAGGGGAAAAAATCAACTGAGAAACCAAGTCAAAAAAAGGAAGCTCTATATAATTCTTTTTTACATATTATTTAAAACATGTCAGTAACTGAATGAATCACCTCCATGTACAAATTCAAGGATGGTAATCGAAACTTTTCAAACATTTGTTCAATCTGAAGATACTTAAAATGATATGGAGTAACGGTGGGAAAAAAACACCTTAACACAAGAAATAGATGGTTTTTTAACGTAGCTTGTGATTTACAACTCCGATTTCTAAACCATAAAAATAAGGATAGTAATTTTCTACATAAACAGAAAAATTGGTGCAAAATGCCATCAAAATACATAAGCGCCACATAAATCATTGGATGTTTGGGTTGGAATACTGTCCAGGTACTCAAACCAATGGACGTCTTAGGGAGTCACTCCTCGAGTCTTTAACCTAGAGATCTAATCCACAAAGCAGTGGAGAAACGTGAAGATATGCAGTTCCATGATAACCGATAACCAACAGCAAGTTAATACATCATTTGTTTCCTTAGGAATCTAGAGCCCATGTGCGCCAGTGATTTTGAATCAGGGTTTTCCAACTCTCCTGTTCGGATTCTCCATACCTACTAACTGGGTTTAAGCGCCGGACATTTGTTTTCCATCCTCATTTCGTAAATAACACCCTGTTTATGAGAATGTAGTGAATAGAACTTCCCTGACAGTAGCTATATACACATGACCATATGATAGTAATAAATGTATATAAGTAAAATAAGCACTTTTTACTTACTGTTCAACATTTGCACTACGTTCATTTAAGAAATTTAAAACATTGATTTCAAGCATAGCAGCTTCACGATATTTATCAACATTTTTGATAATTTTCAAAGCAATTCTACGATTTCTACACATGAAAAGAAGTAAAATGATCAAAATAAAATATACACAAGTGGACGACAGTTTAAAAATAAGTAATAATTTATTACCGAAATGAAAACAATAAAAGTATGATACACAAATCATGACAGAGAAATTGAAAATGACTCATCAACGACTTATCAAGGGTGTAAGACATTTTGACTACACCGAATCATCATATAGTTTAAAAACATGTTACGATGGTAAATTTTTAAAAAAAAACAGATTCAGATAACATACGGTATGGCATAGAAGAATTGAATTCGAGTCTCATAAATGTTAAAATCATATTGTAATGAACAAAAACTCAATCACGATAAACCAATTTATTGTTTATGCGAAATCAAACAGTGCCATTGTAAACTACGAAAATCCTACATTAAATACTTCATTCGCATATCTGCCTTGAGTTCTCCTTTACATAATCCACGATTCTTCCAATTCTGTTGTTATTCCGATCGCTCTCTGTTTTCCTTCCTCATCTCTTGGTAAGTACTCCACTTCTAATTCCTGTTAGATGCTACTTATATCTGTCCGCACCATAATATCTCATTAGTTCAGTGACTACGACGTCTATCAATTCAAACAATGCGACACTTCATTACAGCGATCGTAGTTGAAACATTCAAGCGATAGTATCACTGAACGAATATGATTTATCTTCTAGTCATACGAAAACAACTTAAGGTTATTCAGACTCAAAGCATTCAGCTATGGTGAAGAATCAGTGTATACATACCACTTCCTCGAACATTACAGCATAAAACGTCCACGTTGTCAGAAAGATTACTAAGTGAAACATTGATGACTGCATTTACGAGAATTAACCAAAAAAGATATGAACGGTTACTCATTAATAGAAAGATGACAACAACAATGACAATGGTAACAATAATGTTTATGTTGAATTAAGTGTTAATTAAACTTACTGTACATGATCTTTGCATTCAACAACTTTACCAAATGTACCTTCCCCAAGTGTCTTGACAATTTCATCTAATTGCAAAAAAGAGAAAACAATCATGAAAAAATTAACATGATTTGACATTCTTGATAATTACTAACAATGGGATATAAATCCAGCCAAGTGTCCACAGCTTCTGTTAGGAAATATCTACTTATTACTTTTAAGGCGATGGAATTCTTTTACAAAAATGAGAGGTGGAAAAGAGGACATCTGGTGCTAAAACCATGTTGGTGGATATAGAAGCTTAAGCTAGGGGAATCGGAAAACCCTGATTTTAAAGCAAACTCCAAGATCCTGGAGAGACGAATAGCATGTGAACATATTCTAGGTCACTGGCAATTATGGGACGGTGTCTCCTAATGATTGTTCCACTACATTGTGGATTGGACCTTTAATACCAAGGTTTATCGGGTGTCCCCCTACAGTTTGGGCACATAAGTGGTATTTCAGTACACATATTTTGTCACACATTCCATTTCTGATGCCTACTTGTAACAGATTTTAGCAGAATAAGACATAAATACCTTCAGGTTTACAACACGTTTGACACATGCTTTAACCTACCAGAAAATCCTGGTACTAACCACAAGCAAATCTTTTAGTAAATAACTTCACACAAACTTTTTGACATAAACAAACGTCAGAAAAAGCCATTACAAAAATGCTGTGACTGTTTTAAAAAAGAAAACTCTCAAAATGAATTCAATTCTAATAAATAATACACATGAAAATAGATAATGATGTAAAAAGATGGTATGAAAATTTTACATACAAAAAAAAATACAGTGTGAATATTATTAAGTGGTAAACTCAATATGTTGTTAGTGACAACAAATAGAGAGATAGAGTGTGTGAGCAAATTAAGATTCAAAATAAGTATCTCTTAAGGTATATAGCTTTTTTTCAGTTGAATTATTATAATGAATTTGATTGAAGATCTTAAATGAAATGTACCATAAATAAGCATTCACAGTTACTGGGAATAGAAACAATTTGCTTATGAGAATAATAAAAAACAACAGACTGAAATCTGAATGAATATAGAAGAACGATTTCAAGTTATATCAATCTAAAGTAATTACTAAAACTCATATAAAACTGCCTTCTCGCGGCGGGGGTTTTGTTTATGAAATTGAGAAGACGAAAAGTGAATATCCGGTGCGTCAACCGGATTGGTGGATATGGAGGATCCATCTAGGGCGGTTGGAAAACCTGATTCCAAACCAATGGTGCACATGGGCTTCAAGACCCTAAGAGAACAATAGGCACATGAACCAATCGCTGGTCACCGGCTACTATGAGACTGCATCTCCTCACGATGCTTTACTGCTCCACTGGATTAAACCTTTAGGTCAAAGGTTCGGGTTATGCCCCCCTAAGAAAACCACCTGTTTCGGTTTGGCCACCCAGTATCCTAGCCCATATGTTAATTTAAAGATAATTTATGTGGGACATACATATCTTGGCGCTTTTTTGTACAAATGTTTATGGTTAAATAAATGAAATAAATAGAAACCTCAAAAAACATTGTTAAAATCTTGCAAGGGGTAATTTAACATATTTGTTAAATTTTATATTTTGATGACTATTTGCCAATAACAATAACAATGTACACAGAAAGAGGATCGAGATCTAGGATTCCATTAGATGTTTCAAATTATTAAGGACATTAGTATTGTTTAATACATTTTTCTGGTCCTATTAAATAATTCTCTCTTCAGGAACAGTTTTCGTTCGGAATTTTCATTAAGAAACAATCTTACTAAGATATGAATTTACAAGAATATATAAGCTATCGTTGACACAATTCATCAAGTACATATTTATGTATTATAGTTTGAGACACGTTCTGTCTGTGAAGCCTATAATACTACACGACTTTGGAAAGAGAAATAATCGAAGTAAGACTGGAACCTGAGATCTATTGGCCGAAAACATAATACCTTAATCACAAAGAAATCATCACAAACACATGTTAGTTACATTGTGACTGATACAATAATATCAACAAGCAGACCTCTCATTTAATAATAATAATAATAATAATAATAATAATAATAATAATAATAATACCATAATTGAGTATATCGAACAGAAAAACAAAACAATATGTACACAAACGACTTACATCGATTCAATAAACGATCACCAATACTATAGATCAGATGACCGTCAACATCATCGACAACTTCATCATCGTCTTCTTCTTCAGGAGACTAAGAAATAAAAACATACAAGAACGTCACATTTATGTATTGAAAATACTTAGAAAACAACAAAAATGTCACCTAACTAATTCTTTTACTTATGAATAAGTCTACAGGTATAATTGAAGTGCATTATTCTAAGATGAGCATTTATATAACAATCACGAGTTATTTAGAAATGTAGATTAGTGTAATCTTACACATTCTCCATTATCACCGTTTTAACATGCTAGTTATTAATGTCTAATCATAAATATGGATTGTCGTATTTTACATTGATATTAAAGAGGGCAAAAAAATGGTTTTTCGATGGAATAACAGAATAAGAATGATACAAATACTGCTAATAACATACATATGCAACCATTTATAAATTTCAATTGCTTGATCAAATTTTTGTACATATGGTAGATGTATCTCGTTAAATTTCAGATTAACTGAAAACATTTAAGACATGTAAAGTATTACATGAAAAAAGCAATATCACGGTTATTTCACGGTGATATCCGACATAAATTCTTAAGAACCTGTAAGTGTTTGATAAGAATAAATATTTTTAAAGGCTATCAGATCAAACTCATTCATCATGTACAAGTGTACTCGAATAATTTTTAGCCAAACACTGTTTGATAAGCTATGTAAACTGTAGTACATGAAGTGAATCAATAGTCTAATAAACATTAATTATTAACCGTGACAGATCATTAAACAAAGAGAGTATAAAACACACTTTGAAATGTATCCTTCGTAATCAATTTAACTTTTCATTTAAACATTCTATACATTAGAGAATTCAATCTTTTTGAATTTCTCAACATTGTTTTTTTTTTAAAATAAGAACATTCAGATGAATAAATACACAATGATGAACTACGCTAAGATTAATACACAAAGGATCGTTCTATGTATAAAGTAAAATGATTACAAAATGTAAAATGTACAAGTCATAATAAATAAATAGAATAAAATAAAATAATTAATCATTACTCTATACATTTGAATTAACTTCGCTCTATACATAATAATATAGAGTTGATAACAAAACACCAAACCTACAATCATGTTTATATGTAACATAACAATGGGAAACTACTCTATGAAATGTATACAACAAATTATAACTTGCTTAACAGGTTAATCATTTATATTCATATAATACTGTACTATAAGATATATCATAATGTTTTTATATAATATCAATATAAAATAAACAACATTATCACTTATAGGATAAATAAAAATATTTAGAAAAAAAAACAAAGAAATAAATTCACCTCAGCCTCTTGTCTTAATAATAAATTCTCATTTAAACTTTCAGTAACGCTAAGTTTCCTAAGTTCAATAAATCGTTTGGCACGTTGTCTGGCAACAGCTAATCTCGAGGTAGCTTGATCTTGAGTGTCTTGTGTCAGTGAATCAGTATTATTGTTAACTAATTTACTGGCATAATGATTATCAATACCGTTACCATTAATAGTATTATTATTATCATTAGCAGATGTATTAACAGTATTCATCATATGATTCTCGTTTTGTTGGTACGTCATAGATCCATCTATCATTGCATTTTGTCGTATTGCACAAGCGACAGTAGCTGCATTTATCTCTTGTGTTTTTTGTGTACGACGAAGTTGTCGTCGGAGACGTCGACCAACTGTCTCACACTCAGAATCCTCATCTTCTTCATTATTTCCATTTAGTTTATTATTCTCTTCCTCATCAATTTCATTGTTGGAATTCAAACAATTTTTCATTGATCCATTGTGTAGGTTATTACTTTTAGTATTAGTATTTGTTACGTCGTTGGAATTACCCAGCCTTCTTAAATAATTGCCTGACTTTATGTTAGAACATGACTTGAAAGTAAATGGACCACAAACAATAACTGATGCTTTGCATGGAGGACTGAAATATTCTACTCTCTTAGTAAACCTAACATTTGTTGCAGTATATCCATCGCAAATAATGCAAACAGTAAATACAGCTGCAGGATGATCCGGTAAAGTTTCAGTACAATCCACAAATTCACCATCTATTGGCCAACGAAATCTAGGTGAATTAGCACCGAAAACTAATGGATTGTTACTAGTTGTAGCAGAACGCATACGTCTTAATGGAACACCACGAGATAATGGTATTAGATAAGGCATATATTCTATCACACTAGTGAATAAACTGAGTTTATACAAAGATGGTTGTTGCTTTTCTTCTCTCTTATTAATTATACAAGTAGATGATGAAGGAGCCTGTTCTGTATCCAACGAGAAATAGTTTGAACATCGTTCACAAACAAGACGTATGTCATTTGTCTGAGTGGCCGTGCTTGCCGTTGGAACTTGTTTTTGACATAGTTCATGTTTTGAAATTGGTTTCAATGTAACCAAACGACTGCCAGAAGTAAGTGCCTTAAGTAATTGGTTTACAGGAGATTTGACTGAAGAAGATGATGTAGGCAATAGATCTCCAGCACCAGCCTCATTTCCATAAACTGGTGATTCTGGAGACAACAGAGATGATGAAGTGGCCAACAAAATGATGCCTTCATCATGTTTCATTGCACATCCATCGTCTTCTGTATCAAATACATCATTGTCTGAAGACGCCCCACCAGTATCATCTTCAAAATCTGGACCATTAAAACTAGAGGTAGCTTTTTCAAGTTTACGTAGCAGCGCTGCATTCACCTCATCAGCTTTAACACCATATGTAGGTTTGATTGTGCGTCGCGTTGTTACAGGTTTCCTATCTGCTGGTGGAGAATAAGAAGACTCTCTAGATGCTGCGCTTCCTACACGTAATCGACTTAAACCATCATTAATATGACTATTACCAGTACCACGAACTGCAGACGCTAAATTTGGATTCGCAGGAACTCTTGGTGGACGAGTAGATGAAGTAGACATAATTGTTAAACTTTGATTAGTTTTGGGAGAATTAATGTAACCTAACTGATTAGAGATCAATGTCAACTGTTGAAAAGAATCAGTTATGTAAGGTTCCAATATAGAAATTGAATTTGATGTTGTTAATAATTGAATATTCGATAAGTTAGTGAAATTGTTTGATGAATTTTCTGTGGAATTTATCACAGGACTCGGTTTATAATCGGATAATAGAAGTGGATTAGATAAATAAATAGATTGAACACTATGTTTAATTGTTTTACAATAATGATAAGCTATACAATCTGTAACTATAAGTAAAACATGATAATGTACTGATTGTGTAAAATAGAAAAAATCTTGCTCAGAAAGTGTCAAATATATCAGTTCAACTAGTAAATATGAATGAGAGGGATGTAATAAGTTCGATGCATATTCCAACAAATGAAACTGATTATCTATAATTTGTGAATAATTATGCAAAGAGTATTCAGGTGTTTGTTTCGTTAGTGTCCTAGTGTTGTTCTCTTTTAAATTGGAAGATGATGTGCAAATAGCGATAGGAAGATAACAATTTGGTACTAAATGCTGCAGACAAACAGGTTGAACAGTACCAACAGAAGGTTCTACAGAAGTAATTGAAGTTATTCTTGGCACAAAATTAGAAAATTCAGTTGATAAGGCAGAAGAGGTCGGATTAAAACTCGCACGATTTGATGACTGTATACAATTAAGTGATGAATGAACTACTGATGACAATTCTTGTTGCTGTAAATTATTTGTAGAATCTGATGTACAATGATTAAAATCAGATGACGAAAATGTGTTATCATAAATGGGTGAATCTGATGGCTGACCTTGGTTGGTAGGTCTGGCCGGATAACTTGTTTTTTGCCCCAGTTGGAAGGAGAATTTAACAAAAATTGATGTTGAAAATATATATATTTAATCCGAAATTCAACTGTCATGTATATCAACAATAAAATGAATGACACTATATAGACATTGTGATGTGATGATAGAGATCGACGTAACCAATCATAAACATAGAAGTGAGTGAAGGAGGATATTGTGTTATTTGAAAATTCAGAAAAGTTAAACCAATACGTACATGTACAAATGAATTGTTGATGAAGTACTATATATTAAAGGTGCGCAATAGGGCAGATAAATTTTATGCGAAATCGAATATCATATAAGAATAGGCTGCACAACAAGTTCCAAATTACTGCCGTCAATCAGATCCGATAAGATAGTTTTGTTTAGTGGTAGTAATAGTCTTTTTTTCTAGACACACGAAGAAAAGTTGAAGAAAACACGCACACCAAGTGTACATTCACAAGGTTCGGACAAATACAAAACCAATCTGTTGACATTACTACGTATTAACGCGCACACACACACACACACAGGTATAATCACGCACACATGAACAAAGTCAGTAAAACACTGTTTCCTAAGGAGCAGAAAAATATTTACACAAACTAACCCACTTATCACATTTTTTCATTTTACATACCGTGGGCGTAGTTAGGAAATTAAGGAAGCTATATACAGTCTAATTCATTTGCCCACATAATGATTGTGATTAAAAACAAACACAAAATTGTGTAGCATTTAGGCAGCAAAACATATCCTTGAAACAGTAGTCTACTGCATATTATAAGATCGAAGGAGAAAAAAGGCCTCCATACAATATATAACTAATAAGAATTCACTTAGTCGATTGTATTGATGGAGATGAAGAGAAGAACTGGTTTTGCCACATGTTGACACACACACAGAGAGAGGGAAGAACAATCAATTGACATATTGAACCAGACATAAAAGCAAATCAAGAAATTGGTCAAAGGATAAATAAGTAATCGATTATCATTATTATTGGTAATAATGACTATATTATGAAGTAAAAATTAGTTTCAAAAATAGATTATGTAACCCTAGTAAAAAAATTTTTTTTTAACCTACATATAGAAAAGAAACATCATAGAATATTTCGTAAAGTTGTTCATACAAAATATACTGAGAAATAGTGATAATCACCGAAAAATTAGAAATCCCAGTTTTACATTGGATAGAGTATCCTGAATCGTCCAACAATGGTATCAGTAATAAATAATGAAAGTCCTAGTCAATCAATTTATATTTTTTATCATAGAGGTTTTTGGAGTGTAATTAACTCGGATTTGAAGCAATTACACACTGCTAGCACGAGAAGATGTCTGTACCATATAAATGAAGAAAAATTGACTTATTCATCTGGGATTTGGGTATAAGCCACACTTTAAGTGTGAGGTTAAATGGTACTACCTAGTTGACCAATCCAAAGCAAGTGGAGCAGGGACTTAGTGGTTGTAAGTCGGATACTTTAATTACTAAATTCATTACCTTAATGATTTAAGGAGAATAGTACGAATGGTTGTATATCATTATAATCCATAACCATTCATAAACCCTACCTAAATACTAATTATTTATCATTACACCTTATGTGCCCCCAAATGCCCTGGTACGGCCGAGAGTGGGGAGAGTCCGCTCTCCCTCTCCAAATGCTCTCACATGGCCACGCATATATAGCCTCTGCCAGGGAAGTTCTACTCACTGCCTTCTCACACCACGGGTGTTGTTTACGAAAATGAGAGGACGAAAAGCGAATGTCCGGCGCTTTAACCGAATTCCAAATCAATGGTGCACATGGGCTCCAGTATCCTGAGGGAACAAATGGCGTATGAACCAATTGTTGGTCACCGGCTTCCATGGGACTGCATCTCCTTACGATGCTCCACTGCCTTGTGGATCAGACCTTCAGGTCGAAGGCTCAGGGAGTGGCCTCCTAAGAAAACCACCTGCTTCGGTCTGGGCACCCGAGCAGTATCACAGCCCTTACACATGTCGAATGAGATTTGTGTGGCGCATATGTATTTGGTGCCTTCTTGTACCAATATCTATGTGTTAAAATAAATAATAAATAAATAAACACCTTATGATTTTATTATAGTTCTGATAAGCAATAAAACAATTCCAAATAGAAAAGTGCAAATCTTAACTTTAAATGAACTGAAATATAAAATCATTCAATCTACCCAAGTGACAACTGATTAAAAAGAGCTATAAAAAATAATCATGAACATATTGATTTCTAACAAAAAAGGAAGTCATAAATAGTGTGTGTGTGATGATATATACGACAAATTGTAAGTTAGCCCGTTAAAAATAGAATGTATACTTATCACAATAAGAAAATGTTGAAGTTATTGTGACGCAAGAGAGTATTGTTAATTTTATAAATTGAAATGCATGATATCTATTACATTAAAGATTCTTTCAAGATAAAGCATTAGAACAGTATTTTCGATACATTTGTATTTGTAAGAAAGTATGGAAATGAACTTAAAAATAAAGATTATGATTTCAAACATCATCTTGGAATAGTACAAAGATGCTACCCTATCACAAGAAAATGTTTCCAATTTCTGCAGAAAAGGCTTAAACTGATGAAAAACACAAACACAAAATATTATAAGGAATATATATATATATATATATATATATATTCGGTGTATGATGAGAATGTCAAATTTCTGACATACAGCTTCTAGGAAGAAACCAATCTTAAGATTTATATAATGATCTGAAGTGAATTCATTCGGTTTTCAAATGTATATTTTATTGTCTGCTTTAATTAATTTTTCTTGGGACTTCCACAATACATGATTCTTACAAGACGTCCTAGAGCATTGCAGTATTGTGTACTAGCTAATCGGTTTATCTAGTCTGCATAAACTTTGTTTCTTATTAAATCGAATCTCATAAATTATTCGTAATTAAAAAATACTAGAAACTATCTCAAATCACAACATTGAAGGAATACATATACAGGTGTCTTAAGTAACCAGAATATACATCAATAGAGATGATCGAAATTTATAATGACAAACATTGAATAGAGTTTCAGTTGATAAAAATTCCTTGGTGTTAACCTAGACATTTTCAATGCAATTCGATCTACTTTCTAATGATCACTGAATACATCAATATTGACGTGATCAAAAGTCATAAAACGTAGAAACTAATAACAGCAAAAATATCAATATATGTACACACTAACTGGATCGAAGCTAAGATACCATTCGAACGAGGTTGAACTAAATCACTAGATATTATGAACCTTTACTGACTAGGATCATCGAGAAATTAACGAACACAGACTGCAGGACAATTATTAACCTTGATCAGTAATGATTAATCAAAAAATAATAATAAAACCGAAGATAAAATTGGGCAATTTTGAAGCATTCGATTATGACTAAGTGGGATGTGTCAGGAATGATGAGAAGCTAGTGAATTTATGGTCTAAAAGATTCACTAGATAAACATGTACACGTAATCAGAAAAATCCAAGAAACTCAATGATAAAGAATAACTCAAATAATTGATTGACTCACAGATGAGCTACTTGAAGAATCGGAATTATGAGATTCAGAGTCTCTAGATGACTCATGTTGACTATGATGATGATGATCTGCACGCCGTGAAGTTGTTTCAGGTGTTTTTAAAAGTGCTTTAGAACTGGAAACTTTGGTTGAATAGTTATTATTCACCTTTTTAATACTTTTAGGACCAGGCTCCCATACAATATTTGTTTGTTTTTTACGCGCATTCTGGTGATGATGATGATCACTTGATGCCCCAACATGTTTTCCAACTCTGCCGATAGGTGATTGACTCGAAGATGTAACTGGTGGGCGAAAATTTCTCGAGTTGCCACTTTTAGACCAATGTAATTTTGAGTCATGTACGTCTGTTTTAATGTGTGAATGTTTTACAGGATAATTCTTAGAGGTGTAATTTTGTCGCATACCATTAGTATCCTTGTTATTGGTTGTATGTCCAAAACGAGGTGGTCTCGATCGAGATGAACTATCAGTCATATCAATATGCATAGTTCCAGATTTAAATGACTTACTAACATAATGATCATCGCGAGTATGACGTTCATGAGCCATTGTTGACCAAGAAGAACTTTCTTCTCGTTGATTTTTTATAGAACTCGAACGCCTGTAGAGTAAAATATATTTATAACCAATATTATTTCAATGAACGTATGGAATATGAGTAATAATCTCTCAACATCCAATATTATAACAATATGGGTGTTAGTTATGATATTTGGCAAAACTTCAACAATATCCTGCTTATAAAAGAATGACATGTACACTTGTTTGTACACAGAACTATAGAACTCCAAGTCCCACTCTTTACTGATTATGCCATTTCCCAAAAATAAACTCATCTATATGACAAATCTCAAAAAAATTTAGTTATGTATGTTTTAGTGTTGTGTGAACTGATAAACATTTAAATGAGACAATCAAGTCGATGATAGAGATGTACAAATAGTTGGTGACTATCCATCAACAGACTTGTCAACTTGCAAGTGTTTCATGCATCAAAAAACATCTAAACATGTGGGACAATTAACAAATAATAAAAACATACATGACCAAGTCAACAGATAAGCATTTAACTGTATTTCTGCGATGACAGTTTCTCAACGATTCACATCGTAATAATATACCAATTACTATAAAAATAATCTATGCACAACGAATAGATAGCATGATTATAGAGCAATTAGTATTGTTTATTATCCTAACAAGCTGCACTATATTTCATTATGTTATGTATAACTGATATATAACTGATGGAAATTAATTCAAGACACCAATTCAACCTACTGAAAATTATGTTAGTAATATCTTTAGTCTAGTTGAAAAACAAAAAAAGGCAATAGCGTTGGAAATTTGTCAATACTATGGAGCAAATCTTAAATTAAATATATGGTCTACTCAACATGATTGTTCTATTCAAAACAATCAGAAAAACACAAGTAGGAAAATATGTATGATAAACGCAAAAATAACACAGGAGCATAGATTATGTTTGAAGCTCACCAAAATGAAAACTCCATAAATGGGTACAAATACAAACATATATGTCAGCTTATATTCGTGTTAATATTGTAAGTTATAACACAAACGCAGTAAATAGTTAGAAAACCATATCTACCTGGATGTTTTCGAAGTAACTTGCCCATGAAAAACTTTCTTGTTCACTGAGTGATGAGAGTTCGGAAGCTGAGGATGTCGTAAAGATGAAGAGGGAACTTCATTGACATAACCTTTTCTTGATCTCCATATTTAGTTTCAAGTTTTGTACTCGTTGGTGGAGAAAGTAAAGCACGTTTACGGTTGTTATTAAAATGTTTTTCTTCAATATTATGTTCATTCCGGTTTTTAGACTGCCCATATTTGCGAGTATTCGATAATGATGAATCAGGAGTACATGGCTTTCGCTTGGAATGTTTGTATTTGTTCTCTATCACTCTTTCTTTATTTCTACGATTTGGCACATTGCGATCAGTACTTCTTGAAGAAGTGTAAGAAGAAGTTGGAGAACGAGAGGACTGTCTACGCACATTTCGATTACCTGGTGTTGAGCTCTCATCCTCAGATACGTCAGAACAACCACCTTCACCACGTCTCAAAATGGATGACTCTTTAGAAGAGATATCTTTGAGATCTGATGAAGAATCACGGTAACTATAAACCGGATTCGATATTTCTCTTCTATTGTTGTCATCGATGTCATCACCAGAATCAGAACTTCTATGACACACGGATGCAGACAGCTTTTTCTTTTCTTTTAAAGAGCGGGTTTGTCGATTGTGATCATTGCTATCATTTAGTTTTTTTGATTTCGGTTTAATACCTTGCCGTCGCGACCTCGACTGATTATGTCTACCTCTGTCTTGTGATTGAGACGTTGATGAATGACGTGAAGAACCAGATGATATTACTTGGGTCTTGTTATTTCCTGGAAGATTACTTGAACTTGAGCGAATGTGACAATATGAACGAGAGGATGATGAAGATGAAGTGGAAGAAGATGAACTACGAGGAGAAGGAGCAGGTGGAGGTTCAGCATCACCGGATGAATGTGACCGATGTCGGTCGGTTTGATGAGGATTTGCATAGGCTGCAGGTAGTGCACGGTTTTGTTGATCCTATTCAAAAGAAAATAGTTTTCTTTATACTTCAAAAGTATATGGAAATAGTAATTAAATCAAGATAAGTTATTGTGGAATAGACCACATTTATAGTTATCATTTAAAAAACAATGTGATTTGTTTACGTTAGAGTAAAAACAGGGGATTCAAAATATTTTCATCCAACAAGTTAATATGGACATTTATACATCTGTGATGACAGTATAATGCGCAGTTACGATTCTTAATAGGGGGTTGTCAAGTTATTTGATAAAGGAAGAATACGTTGCAAAACTGTAACATGTCACCATTTAGGAAATGACCAACCAAGAAGATTATTCTACTAGAATAATCGTGCGGTTTAAGCTTCATAAAAGTCAACAGTGTGCAATGAGAACTTGTGTGATGTTTTATTCAGGTGACTAAGATCAATGGTAAATGACCGTCATGAATCAATCCTATATCTTGGTACCACATTACTGAAATAATCTTTTTTTCACTTTGGTGCTGTTACTAATCACTAGGTCATTCGGAGAACATAATGATTTGAACAAATACATTGCAGATCAACGTCCAAACGAGAATAGTGGGATTGAAAAGTACTATGAAACAGTAATAAGCTAAAATCAATTTTTTTCGAATGAACCAAAATTCTAAAAATTATCTAAACACTTACCGAACTGTCACTGCTATCACCAGTATCATCGCTACGAAAATCTGCAAATTGTGATGATTGGTTGGGGGAATTATCTTCGTAGGACATGCCTACGTTGGAATGTGTAATATGTCGATTTGTAGATCTCTTTCTTTTATTGGAAGTATTACAGACATTTGGAGCTCCATAAGAATTTGACCGAGAAGTAGATGCGGAAGTGGATGAGTTGGAACAGTTGGAGCTGTGATAATCTCGACTATGCACTATTTTAGTATTATGCTTTGAGGAGCGCGTCTTCGATGATCTGTTATTTGACGATTGAGAATTTGTACACACAACAGGTTTTCTTACAGATAAATTTTCATTTGAATTCGATGAATCCAAACAGCGACCTGATATGGAACTAGTTATCTCATTTTGTCTACGCGTTTTATTATTAAGAGAACTTCTGGAGCAAGATTCACGGGATAAATCATAATGTGAACATGTACCACCAGAATCACCTTCATCCTGAGAAGATAACGGTGGACTAGACGGTGTTCTAGGACCTCGTGGAACACGCGAAACTGGTTTATTAGAATTTGTATCTGACGGACCAGGCGCATCATCAGGAGACATATATTTGTTGCCTTTACGGGAGAATTCCTGTTTGTCTGATACTGGTTCCTGTTCTTTTTTCATTTTATCTTTCACTTTACGTGTTGTTGAAAATTTCCCTGAATGCTTGTTCTTTGGGGTTTCAAACATACATCTATCTGAAGATAGTGGTCTACAAAGTTAAAGGCACATCATAAAGATGATCAAGCACTTAAAAGTTATGAATCTCCAAGTAGACCAACTACAATACTTTCATAGGTATAACTATGATTTCTACAAAATTATACTGAACCCTAACCCTAACACACGTAACTGTAATATGTTCCCAGTTTTTGACAAAGTTAAACGCAATTTATCGGACAGGTATAAATGCATTACAACTAAACACAGATAATTAATAAATATATAAACATAAAATCTTATAGTTTTTTTGCTGCATAAGTGGTTTAGTCGTACTTGTTAAGTGACTCGAAGGTGGCAAGTCAAATCGTGTGTGGCGTTTGATCATTAATCAAAATCTTTAATTCATAAGACTAATAATGTAGGAAACATTTTGATTTTTGTAACCTTTGTTTGGTGAAGCTAGTTGGATTAATTCACAAGATTCTTACTATTTAGAAAGGCATTATTTCATGATTAGTGTTCCAACAATCAAATCACTTCGTTAGTTGCTACTGATGCACATTTCTAGGACATATTACTCAATTTACGCAGGTTGGTAACGTACTAAACTTGATTTTATCAGTACTATTAAACAAACTTAAATAAACCAAAAAGATTTCTGCAGACAAAAAAACTACAGGTCCGTTAGTTTACTTACCTATTGACAGATTTGCGTACTACAACATTAGACTGATAATCTGAACCAGAAGAACTATTACTTTCAGTGTCCGAGTCATTCCCATGTCGAGTTTTCATGTTGTAATTTTTATTAAACGTGGAACGAATTTCCCTGACATCACTTCTTATTTTGGAGTTCTCATGTTTACTTCGTCCAGACTTAGGTTCTGATGACTCAGATGGAGGATGGCAGTTCAACTTTAAACTATTTATTTGTTTCTGAATTTCAATTGGGTTTGGTAAATTAAATAGATCACAAAATGGTGGAGCGAAATCAACAGGAGGACATCTTAGAGTATTTAACAAATTCGATGGATTCATAGACGGAAATAGAGATGGACAAAGACCTGACATTAGTGCAGCAGCTTCCAAGACATTTGGAATATGAGGTGATGTAGCACAACCAGGGAATAATGATAAATCATTACCAGAGTTACGAAATCTTAAATGTCGTCTATCCACGTCCACTGGTGTAGGTAAAAGTGGTCCACGTTCATGATCAAACCTAGGGTGGAAAATATGAGATTTAGTCAATGAAATAACGTTTGTGGATCTAATCATCCTTATGTAAAATGACTTACTCAGTGGACGTAGGAAGTAAAGTGTCAGTAGGCAGGACTTCAACATGTCGTCTCTTGCCTTCTGCTGCAACTCGGCTAAATGTCGAGGATGTAGAAGTTTTCTGTACCTTTGAAGATTTTGACTCTGATAAATTATTCGCCTTTTTCTGGTTTTGTTGATTTGAGCTAACTGTTTCACGTGAGCTGTCAGCCTCGTTTTCGCTTGATGATTCTTCAAGTACGCCTTCATTTTCTTCGCTTTCCTCACCATATGTATCATCATCCTTAGCCTCACCTTCTTCAACAGATTCAGTTTCATTCGGTGACACTGCTTCTGTGGTGCTAACTTCATTATTAGCTCCAAATGATTGTTTAGACTCAGTAACAATTTCAGACGTATTTGATGTTACTACTTTGGAATTATCTTCGTCATGAACTGACTCCTCTTTCTGTCTGGTTGACGTAGTAGTTTCAACAGTCGAGCCTAGTTTAAGAAAATATTAACCCAAAAGTATGAACACTTCCTAACAATCCAAATATAAAACATCGGATATGAAAGTAATAGTCAAGTAGAAAAATGATTTACAAAGAAGTTTCATTGATTGGTTTAACAAACAATAAGCAAATAACTTGATCTGTACGCTGAATATTATATCCTATGTAAGAACATTATTGATACAATTGCAAAAAGAAAGAAATAAACAGCTACCAATATACGCGAATGTAATCGAAATCGACATATACTTCAAAAATTATCACCGATATGACATTCTTGATTAATCAGTCACTGTGAACTGGTGTTAATGTGAAATAAGTTACTTAATAATTACGAGTGACTGTAAACGCAAAAAGAACACAGCAATTATGCATCCAACATCTAATTATCACTAATGATTACGAGCTTTCCAGTGATCAATAAAATTTGAACCAATATTGTAAAGAGTCTATGGTACAAAGTGATTTTTTGTGACAAAAATAAAGAAATCTGCTCCCTATTAATTTAGATATTGACAAGAATTATGAATGAAGTGAAACAGTGAACTTCCATTGGCTCTCACTGGTCATGTGAGAGTATTTCGACAGCTGATTCTCTCCACGGCATTTGGGGGCTAAGAAGACAATATGAATTCGTAGGATAAAAAAATATACGGTGGTTTAGAAACTTAAGAAGAAAAACAGTAAGCGCACCAGAGCCATGTCATACAGAGTATCTATCGATTGGTTACGAAAATAGAGAGGACCACAACGAGACAACCTGAACCTACTTATGCAACCTATCCTTAATGCCGATAACTCAAGAGACCAGTGTCGTGTATTGTTTTACCCACCCCTAACTTTCTTCCAAACTACTCCCTAGACAAAACAACGTTGCACGTAAAGGTTAGTGGTGATTGGGCATACGTAATAAATATCTCAACTAACTCACTTTAAAATGTACAGCCTCATCAATCAATATGTCATCTTTACCTAGTACGTTTTATCGAATCTCAACACTTCACTCAATTGGTAGTCCCAACATACACCAGTGATGCTTCAGAGGTATCTACAATCACATACTAGTACTCCACAGATATCCTCTATTTCCAAAGGTGAAATGTTGTAGAAGATATGTAATTTAAAGCAACTTAACTAAGATTGATAGGGCGAACCAAAAGGTGAATACGCTTTACTTAGAAAACTTACGTCTACGAACAACGCGTCTGGAAGATTTCTGTTGAATTTCATTATCATCATTTGCTGAGTTCTCTTTACAAAGCTGATCATTACTGACGTAATCTGGGAAATGTTCATCACTTTCTTCAGAAGTGTATTCTGTCTTTTTTACTTTGATAGGTGATTCTCTTTTTCTAAATCCTTTCCCTTTTGCAACTGTATCTTTCACAGAGGAACGAGAAGAGTCGTTTGTTCTATTAGATCGAAAAGTACGGGAATGTGAGTGTTGACGTTGTTCAGGTGAATGGGAAGAAACATTGGATGACTCATGCTTATGATATTTTTTTGGACGCCTTCCACGTATATTTACATCTCGATTATGTTTGGAAAAATCAAAACTATTACCACTTGATAGTACCGATCCTATAGAAGTTAGATCCGATGGAATACCTGAATTGTTAGCAGCTGCAGCCGCAACAGCAGGTAGTAAGTCAGCATTGGGATAACTAAAATAATAAAACAAAATGGGATTATACCAATATATACCCACATTCATTGCAACTCTATAAATCTTATTAAATGAACATGATTCGTAAATGAAGGTGGATATTTACTGACATCGTATGGCATTGAGTCGACGATAGGCCTAGTGAGCTTTAGGATCATACGAATGACTACGTCTTAGACTAATGCTTGTAAAAAATTCCAATATTCCTCTAATAAATCTCATTAAAGCATTCATTTGAAAGAGCAACCAGTAGTTTTGGAAGCCTTCCAGTTACTGTTTAACTATTCTTGCAATTGAACAAAAGTATCCCGAAGAAATACGTAACAATTTTGGCATCATTTCTTCTGGACTAGATGGTTTTATTACAGAGGTCTCATTGTTATGTTGCACAACATATTAAGCTCACACTTTACATAAGGTAGGCACTTCGCTTCAAATCTTTAATACTTCAATATATAACAATAAACCGTATGTTTCCATAAGCTTCACAGCGTTATGACCGTTGATCTGCTGCTCTGACAAGACAGTAAATTAGAAACTGAGTCTGAAACAACTCATTTCTGAATTAAAAACGTGTGGTAAAATAACGCAACCGTAATAAACAAATGGGTTCGATTGTTAAATTACTAATGAAATGGAAGTGGATAAAAACTAGGACTATATTGATCAGCGAGAAAACTGGAGATCACACTATTTGACCATAGTTTTATTCCTTTGCTTAATAGTAATTACACAATGAGGTCATGACAAAATAATCACGTATATCGAAATTGTATTAAAAAAACTGTTGTCAACTGAATATTAAGAAAAACGATCAGTGTGCAAAGGAACCATTTCGAATCCATTTGTAGGTTTTGACAACAGACAGGTTACATAGCATCAGCCAACATATAAAATCAAATACAAAACATTCTCTTGACTTCCCTGAACTTTATAATAAGCACCTTACAACCATTATGAATATTACAAGTTTTATCACCAACAGTTACGCTGTTCCCATTACACGATGACAGAAGTCGGCTAGGAATAGTTATCCTGTAGTTAGGTAATACATTGAGTCATTATCTTTTCAAATCATAACACAAAAACTTGAATGAAAGTGAGTAAATAAGTAGCATCACTAGCCCTCAGTGTGATACCAACCTCGAATACATAAACCTGTACTTGGCAGACGAGATCCGTCACATTAGTTACTTGTGATGCTGTTTCCTGTCATATAAACGAGCATTTAATTACTTATTAGTGAGTAGGGTCTGATTATTGAAAACGGGTTCAGAAGAAACCAAATTTGTACCATTGTGTATTCATTACGAACAAAGTAGCATGATATTTTAGATAAGTTTTAACTTACTTTGACAATGAGAGAGCAGTTGCCGTATAAGTTCGGTAGTACTGTTGATACATATGACTGTAATACAGCATTAAAAGTTGCTCATTATCCATATTTTGATTAGCATTATTAACATCCAGCCTGTAGTTTTTGAATTTGTTGGGCACAGTAGCTTGATTGGGATCGTAACCTTGAAATCGATTCCCGTAACCATGTGGTCGAACACTTAACAGAGGATTCCTAGATAAACTAGTTACTTTACGAGGAACAGTTTTGTTTATTCCCAGATTCCATTCTTCATCAGAGTTATGACTTTCTGTACTAGGAAAGCCATAGCCGGGGCTTGACTTTCTTATTCGCTTTTGTTCTCCCGAATGATAGTTGACCGCATTACTGTTGCCACGTGAATTGTATCTCCGTTTGATACCAAGTCGTAAAGAAGTATCATGATCAGTATCCCGCACATGCCGCCTTATATCTGTTTTCCCCATATTTGCCGAATCATTGTAGCATTTTCTGAGCTGCAATTTATGGCGTGCATCTGAAGGGAGTAGAGGAACGTGTGAACTTGACGAGTAAGGCATGTGACAGGATTTCAGGACTCTGAAAAGCAAAGCACTATGATGAGAGGGACGAGTTAGAATTCAGAATTGATGTAACTAGGAATGATAGAAGTATAGTACCTGCCACTTCCTAGTTGTCCAAATAGCGTAACGTTTGACACCACTTAATTGACTCCTGTCTTATTAGCTTTGGACTTAGGTCTCTATTGGTCATGTACAACGTAGAAACTGAGATATGAGTATCAGTTCGAGTTGCCATACCGTCAAGACGGTAGTACTTTCAATCGTCTGTTGCATATTTTTCTTAATGCCCTTACTTTCCTTAATAATTGACTTTATGTATTTTTTATGGATAATGAAGAAGGCGGTAAATGCCAGTTTGGCAATAACCCCTTATCTATATATTAGGTCATATGGTATCCAAGCATAGATGTTTTGTGGAGACGAAAACACAATAACGGCATCTCAGTGCGTCTTAATAACGTTTAAATTCACGAGAAACGAAGTTAGACTACATAAATGATCGGAAATAATACCGACTACGTGGTCCTGGAAGTCACCGATGTAATAAAATTCGGAAATAATGTACACAACCATGAGTTGTCATACGGCTTGGTCATTGATTCTAAGCTTTTCCGATACTCCTTTATCAAAAGATAACTTGTCCGTTTATTATTAGAGCCGCGAAAATAAGATGCTATACCGTATACATGAATGAAGTATGGGACGAGGATTCGACTAAAGAACCTAGCTAATGAACACTAACGAATTGAAGTATTTAGGGAGGGAAGATGAAACGGAAAAAGAATAACTCATAAAGTATGAGGTAAAAAGTCTTTGGACATATGAATAAGATAAAAATCAACGAATACTTCCTCCGCATATATAAAAACACGCTCATAGGAATCTACTGTCCCCAAACGTAACACACTGACAAAACTATTATAATAAAACGCAAGGAACAGACTGAAGCTCCCTTAATTGACGTCAAATATCTAACAGCAATGAATGGCGAGTGCGAGATCCTTAACCATGTATGGAACATTCATTTACGTCCTAGTAATTTAAAATGTTTATCCAAACAGACTCAGTAGGAGACTAAGGATAGTGCTAAGCGAGGGGAAAACTAGATGACCAAAGTAACAAATATATGAAGTGATAAACCCTTTATTCTAATAAATTCAATGCATTTACTTGGTTAACTGTTCGCATATAATATGACGCCTTATAAGTGTAATTCAATGAATATCTTAATGTCAAGCAATGATACACATTGATTGCAGCGTTAAAAATCATTTTAAAGAGTGTAATAACACCTAACCACTCAAAACCCTGGGTAAACTACTCACATTCATGAGATTCGAAAGCGCCGGCTCACTTTGTTCCGCATCCGGGGGGGAGAAGAAAAACAAATTGGCTTAAAATCTGACAAAATAGACAATTTTTTGAATACATTTCATGAAAATTAGCACCTTTTCAAAAAATATCTTTCTCATGAGTTGATTTTTAAATTCAACGTCCAATATATGAGAGTTCGTAACGTTCACATGAGGTGTAGTGGACTGTGTATTTGTATGTCCTATCTACTGTCTATTTCTCACCAAGAATCAGATGGTTAAACAGTACTACGATAAAAATTTGAATTAAATTCGCTGATTTTTTTAATTTTTGCTGTCGAGAAACAGTCACAAACATTTAGCAGATTACCGTCACCTAAGTGTGATAATTCGCCAGTTGTAGAACGTTATAAATAAATAAAACCTAGCTCGCCCCACATACATATGTCGGACCCTTCTGAAATCTGGGCCATTCCGATGAACTTGCATCATCACCAGACAGTAGTCCAGCTAATATAGCTGAGTCAGTAGTTAGCAAGAGGGTAATTGAGAACAAAAGGTTTTGAGATAACTAAACATAAGGGAAAATCGTTATTCTTAGATATGAAAGCTCTGAGCGGGAAACAACACGGCGTTTGAGAGGAGTGTTCTTGTTTCATAAACATATTCATGGGCGAAAGAATGACGAAGGGTCAAAACACTGTAACAGGAATAAAGGTGTCGCCATAGCACTCTCACTACAGTCTCAAAATATACATGAGATTAGAAGTAGTGCAAATAAGTTAAGACAGTGTTAAGATGGGTTCGTGGACGTCAAGGTGGAATGTTTGCGGAACGAGGTGTAAATAAATAAATCTATATATCAAGGCGAAAATCCGCAAACGCCATCACGTTTTCAGATCAGTACGCTATAAATCAGTTACTGGAGACGTTGAGCGAAGTGACAGCACTCCGTCCCAATCCTATGGATAAGCGCAAGGCTAATAGCAGATTAGTTTGTCAAATAAGGACTGGTAAATGATGCAACCGGAGTAAATACTGCAAGCAGTCGTCATATGTAACTGAAGAACAGCTCTACTTTTTATAGTTTTTAGAGACCACCAGAGCTGTATGTGATATGGTGCCACTCAGCGACTCAGAGAAGCAAAGCCTTAGTCCAACATTAGTTATGCAACTTGTACATACGTCCAGAGTGTAGACGTGTGAAAACCAGAAATTTCAAAAAATCTTGACCCAAATATCTTGCTTTGTTTAAATTTTGCTGTTGCAGAAGATTAGTTGGAGCAAAAACTTACAATGCACTTTGCTCCTCGGTAACTGACTTTCCGACGTTGATGAAAATAACTTATGCTGACACAGACCAGAAGCATCTAATTACTTATCATATAGCTACCAATTAAGCAAATCGTTTCCATCATCTCCATACAATTACCAGTCATTCTTGCCTCTCGATGTCTACAACGGGATAGGGAACCAATATTTCATTATAATCAATCAGTGTCTGAAAGGGAAACTGCGAAAATTCTGGAATTTATGTAGGCCTCAGACGATGGAAGAACCTAGGCTTTTGTCTGGAGTTTGCGAAATATGTTCGGGGAAGAATAAGCTCATTCATGTGGTATCTGAGTGGTAGGTACAGTCAGAGCATGTAGGTCAGTCGCCCTATCAAACCAGAGTAAGTCAAACAGGATCCGTACATGGGATTCGGCGGCCAAACGTCGAGCGGCTTAACTAATTCCCCACCTTTCACACACATGAGCAGACAAAAATGTATTGAGAACCTCGTTTTAGTTTTAAAAAAGAGTGATAGTGTAGAACTATGGTCTACTATAATATTAGTGCTGCTCTAATAATAGACCTAATCCTAAATTTGTAGATTTGTCATGATATAACTGCCTAATCTATAAGATCTTACGTGAAAGTCACACCATCGACTACGCCAACTCACTGTACCGTATCAATTACCAATACATGATGTAGAACAAGGTTAGGCTAGAGAAGGAACAGTATGTCGCTAATGAAAATATTTTGAGGAAAGTCTTAAGCTTGTTCCACATACTTCATGGCTGTTCACTTATGGATAGACCGAAAGGCACTGCATCAGAAGAAGACCCAAAGTTTCTGAAACTGTTTGATCCCAGCTCATTGTCTTCTGCACAAACTTCACTGTCTCTAGTGAATAAGATCATTCCTTCCTCTTATACTCTGTCAACTGCTAAATTAAGACATACCTGCCCGTTGATTTGTGTTGATTATTTGAATTTTCCCACTGACACTTAAGACTACAGCAGAACCCCAGAATACAAGTGAATTCAGGTGACACGTCCCAAATAGGACGAAACTCACTTCCTAATTTCCACAGCTAACCACCATCCATCTATGTTTACAGTGATTGCGAACTAAAGCAATATCGAGGCAGTTCACACAGGATTCACATACAACAAAAGGAAGTGATTAGTTCTAGTCCTTACAATCAATAAGAAGATTGAAACAACTAGTGCAAGATAACTTATGTTTCGTTTTCTTTTACCTAACATTTCCTTTCGGCGGCCATCATATTGAAATGCCGTTCACAGAATACTTGTGTGTGAGTTAATCTCTTTTGTTCGATCGCACCGACGATAGAAATGTTTTCCCTCTTTGTTAGGGATGTCTGTTGTTATTTACAATTAATTAGTTATTATTATTATTATTTTATGTCTGTTGTTTATTTTCGAAGCGTGGTGAATTAATGTGTGCTCCTCTTTAAATAGAACATCGCAGATACACTTCTCTCTATTCAGCACGTGGGCAGTCAATATTCTTAACAATTTATTACCTTAGCGTCCTATGATCTGAGTCTACATGAGGTTTACTGAATAAGCGATAATACCTGTTGATAAAAGTATAGTTCGGACATATTTTGCGTATCGTGTATATAATTCATATCATCGATTCATTTTACCACTTTCGATTGACTGACTTATTTGTTCCTTAGATCAACATGAATCAGTTGTATTCAGCAATCACAGAAGGTGTCAATGTAGGTTGTTGGTCAACAAAACTGGCCACATATTTCCGAATAAAACCTATCGGAATAAATATCCTTTGCCTTTTTGTTCGAGATTCCCGTATATTCCGCACTCCGTTCACGAACTGTCAACACCAGGTATAAAAAACTAGCTGCAATCAAAACCACGAACATAAAAGCATTGGTGCTAGAGATGAAGCGTTCGCACGACTGAAACAAGACTAGTGGTATCAACAGTTCAGGACTCCTGATATCTGTCCTTTGAAGATGTAGAAGAGCTGTTACTACATCGACTAACTATGACTGTAGAACAGTTTCACCTGTTTTCCTCGGTCTCTAACTAGTCACAAAATTCTAATAGCATTTTCATTTTTACAAGAAGCGACCTTCGTAAATACTCACCATTACTTTGAAGTACATTATGTTGTACAGTGCTATAGGCTATAACAGCAGAGCTTTCAATGTCAATGAATTGTATGTGATCACAAACAACCGAAACGGAAACATTTGTTCAAGTACCAGACAGCAATATCTGTCAAATAATTATGACAACAAACACTTCTGTTCATTATTCTATTCAACAGTTTAAACACATCATTATGCACGTAACCGTTGGTCAACAGCACGTGGAACTGAAGTAGCTGATCAGCGTCTTAGTGCCAGAAAGTAGAATT